GTGGTGGAAAAACAAACCTTCCAGTGGGATGTATGGGAAAAAAAGAGAAGAGGAGGCGAAGAGGCAGAGTGACATAGAGAAAGGTGTTCATTTGTACAGCGAGTGGCGCTGAGACACCACAGGGAAGCATTGCAGGAAAATGGATAAATGACATAATTTCTGTCTCTCAGCTGTGTGTGTCTGTGTAGGAGGGATCGCCTCCATCAACCATATTTCATGCTTAATTAGCAGCCCTGGGATGGAGGGATGGTTGGAGTGGAATTAAAGACAGCAAGTAGTGTGCCATACCAGAGTTTTCCAGCATTTGTCCTGCTCTGAAATGGATACTCGTAGATCACAAAGTAATACCATATTTTGTATTTACATTCTTTCCTTCAGTTACCCCAGGCAAGAAATGAGAGGGGAAAAAGTAAATTATGTAATCCAATAGGGATGTAACGATTAACCGCGAGCCGGTTGAAAATCGATTCAAATATGTGACAATTCAAAATCGGTTGAGATGCTAAACAAATCGCGATTCATTTAGGGGTAGGAGTTTATAAGAATTCATGTCTGAGGGGAACTTACTGTCTTTAGAATTGTTTAGATGTATTATTTTCTCTTCCTCTTGCCTCTGTATAATGAATATTAAAGTTAATATGTGCAGCGCTGCTTTGTTTACAGCGGAAACCTGCTGGCAGAGAGTGAATCTGCTTCTCATTCAGCTCTGCTGTTTCATGCAGATATTTTTATGTATTCATGGGTTTCAGTCTGTAACAAAGTTCATAAGTCGGGAAGAAGGAGGCAGGAACCGGCGAACACTCCAAGAAACTTTAATAATAAAATACACTCAAAACAGCGCGACAGCCCCTCGCGGACGACTGCCGCGCACAAACGAAACCAAAACACAAAATAAAATCCAGGCCTGGTCCTCTCTCGTCTTTCCCTGTCGTCCCTCCTCCTTTGTATCCTTCCGGAGCTCCTCCGTGAGACTCGAGACCGGTGAGTGGCGCAGGTGTCGCTCATTATCACTTACTCCACCGGCCTCGCTCTGTTCCCACGGCTCTCGGCCCCGCCCCTCTCGTCACACAGTCACGGGACTTTTTTGTTGCGGCCGCCATCTTTAGGACCTTGCATAGCCTCTCCTTGGTGATCAGAAACCAAAATAACACTTAAACAACAATGGAAAACAATGGTATTAAAAAAAAATTGACACTTTAGGATTAGATCCTTATTTACTGTCAAGCGAACTGCTGACTCCACTAAAGTCTAGGGAAAACTTACCAATTTGACGTTTGCTGGCTATTTACATCTACCTCATACACAATCCCTCTCCGTACTCTCGGGCCTTTTTCAGTTAAATTTTCACCTGTTAGAGACTTGTCCATCGGCCCGGATCCATCTGCAGCACCCAGCCTGGATGCTTGCGTACTCACTTTCAGATTCTGGGCCGAATCAACCGGACCAGATGCGATAGCCGTAACTTCCGTAAAGCCGACACTATCGCATCCAAGCCGGACTCGCCAGACTTAGCCCAGTTTCATTTCTACTGTACATTAATATTTCAGTTAAAATTAATAATGTTACCTAGACAAAACGTTTACTTTCATTTTAATTATATAGATTATAATACATAAATAACATGACTTAACAAATCTATAAACATCTCGTTATTATGAAAGCAATTTTAAAGTCCATTAAATAACTAGCTTGACCAAGCTGGCATGAGGAACATTTATTTACAAAACAATTTATTTACAAAACCGCAAAAAAGCAGAAGTTATACAATAAGTGTAGATAAAATATTTAACACATTTTGCAAAATTACCCATGCATTTACTTGAATGAATGAGGCATTTATATGTACACTTGGACTGTAACATTTAATAAATAAAGGTTAAAACATTAAAAATTTAAAAGGTGTTTTGAGAAACACATTGGTAAATGGCAAAGTTTTTGAATTAAAAATTTTGTACTTGGTAAAATAATTGAAATAATTATTACCTAACTGTTACTGTGAATAATTTTTAAAGGTAATCAGTGAATACTGTTCTTGATTGTTGCTCATTGTGCAGCATGTCTTTCCTCATCTTAGTCCAGTGAGTTCTTTGCTTGGGAGCTTTCATTTCTGCACCTGTAAAGAGTAAATAATGCACAAGTATCTATTACTAAAGGTCTAACTGAATGCACCAAACTGAATTAAAGTAAATGTATATTTCAAAGTATCTTCTTTTGAGTTCTGCAGAAAAACAAAAGTCAGGGTTTTGAAAAAAAATAAAAAATAAGGGTGAATTGATGTAATAATGTAAATGATGACAGAATTCTGGGTTAACTATACTTGTAAGTAAATGAGTAGAAACACTTTTCACTAGTCAGAAAAATAACAGTGAATGCCACAATAAAATACTTGAAAAATACACATTCAATAGATCCATAGCTTCCTGTTGGTCAGTTTGTCTCCTCAGTTAAGATTCCCCCAATTATTGCAGAAAACATTATATTACATAGTATAATCATGGTCAGTGCAGACATATACTTGAACTTACTTTCTCTTGGACTCTAACTGCTCCTTGCTCTTCCTGTCAGAGAAGTATAATAAAGACGATGTCCACTGTCTGACTCCAAGCACTGCTCGCTGTTCACAGCGTCTGAGGAACTTCTGCCACTTATTCTGCAATGACACTTCTCTACTACAAAACATTGTTAAAAGACATGTGTGGCACATTCAAGATAAATATTCAGTTATTCCTGTACGTCTCTACATGCTAAGTGAAGAAGCAACTAAAGTAGCAACAAAACTGGGATTCTGTGTTTTGTTGTAGTCAGTTACATGTGTTTTGATATTGGTGAGCACCTGAACATAAAAGTCTGCTTACATTTAGCAACTGTAAAAGCAGGGCACAGCTACTGCAAATTATCTCAGACATATTGCTGCATATACATTTGATTGCAGCAGTACATTGCCATCGTAAGAATCACTGCAACTAGCTTATATAGCTAAATGAGATTATTTTAAAATAATGTTCTTCTACAGAATTATAATAGTAATAGTACAAACAGGTCCTCTTCACTCTAACATCCTTGAAGTAATTACATTCAGTTTCATTCATAAAAATAAGAATGTGGAAACTAAAACTACAAACCTTTCTCCTTGCGTGCGCTGGACCGTCATCATCCTCCTCTTCTTCATCTGTGTGTTTGCGGATCGGAGTGTTTTTCGTCAAAGTTTAGTGCAGCGTAAACATTCTAGACTCACATAACTGTACTTAGATAAAAAACATCTCATTGATTTTTTAGCTTTAGGTGGAGCATAACGGAAGTTTTCTGGCAAATCAGCAGTCTCGCACGCGAATTGAACCTTTTGCAAGTTTCATTATGAACTTGCTAACTAAAATACTAAAAT